CACCATTTATCTCAGTCTCCTTTTTTGTTCTACTTCTTCCCTTGTTTTATCAAAATCCTTCAATATAGTAATATTATCAATGATACAGTACATTATATGTGGATGTGCATGTATTGGTGCTGTTCACATATGCTGTCATGGTACCAGTGAAGAGAGTGATGAAGAATGGGTTGTCATTTATGTTATAGGACATAGTAAGATTGGGCAGGTGCAGAATGTTCTCTTGTGATCTTTAGTGCTATAACACAATGTATAAGCAGAGCTCACCTGTGTTAAAACTTCATAATCTTACTAGCCACATCATTTGCCAGTTTAAATGTCAATTTGAGTGGACAGCAAAGTACACCTCATACACTTCCCACCATATATCCACCCAACTATGGCTCTCAATATCTGACTTGTAAGACTATCTATATGTTATACAGCAGTTTTAGTGTATACCAATATTAGTATACATCAAAAACTACCCAAAATACACCTCCAAAAAGAAATAAGATATTGTGATAAGATGAAGATATAACCTCCCCTTTAATGTGAAAAAGAAAGACACCCCTTCTGACTCTATTGTCTGCTGGTACGTAGGCATTATGTCACATTATGCCTAAGGAAATTTTACAAATAGACAATGATCTGTGCCATGAAGATAACCTAAAGCTACAGTATCTAGCAGTTTTCAAGTGCACAACAAAAGGAGCATCATCATTGAAAAAACATTTTTAGATTTAGGTTACATAACATATGTCATGTATCACATGAATGTTATTATAGCAGCCCTGGACTTCCTCAAGCTTGTGGTTATTGCTAGGATTATCCTGATTTCTGTATTGTAGTGAGTAAGTGATCATCACTGAAATAGCTACACCTTAAGTGTACCAAATTCTCTCATTGTCATCCATACTTTAGTACAAGATGATTGATGTCTCTCAATGGAGAGCAAGTATTGGACTGTGGAACTACTGTCAAGTTGCCTCCAGTAGACCGGCTAGTGGCTGTCATTCTCACTCATTCAAAGCTGCAGTAGACAGCAAGTCAGGCAGTACTACATCAGGAGAGAAGACATCTAAACTGCCAGCAACTCTGTCTCTTATTGCTTCTCTTCTTTTATCTTTATTAAGATATATGAACCTGAATTTTATTCCTCCAACTGGTAAACAAACTAACAGTATATATATAATATTATCATACAGTGTATTTACAATAGGTATAATTACTGTTATTGTTATGATCCATTGCCTCAAGTCATTAGTCTTGTTTATTATTGGCAGTAGCTCTGACATGATCTACTATTTGGTTTTACTTTTTCTCCTCCTCTTATCAGGAGATGTTGAACTCAATCCTGGTCCTATGATTAATAATGATCAACCATCTTGTCTCTTATTTGCAAAGTGTCTTAAACCACTTGTTGACTGGAAACCATTTGCTCTTTGTCTTCCTGGAATAAAACAATCTGATGTCAATATAATTCATAAAAAGAAAAAAAATGCTCACCTCATCAAAATGGCTTTACATAAGAGATGGTTACAAGCTAATCCTACAGCATCATGGAGAGATGTCATTAATGCTTTGAAACAATGTAAAGAGAATGAACTAGCTAGAGCTATTGAAGTCAAAGTGACAGATTCCACTGGAAGGAATCTTAATGAAGTGGAACCCATGAACAGTAATCCTGTAGGTCCTGTAACAGGTAAATATGTGCTTGGTGAATGTCAAAATAGTATTAGTATATAATTATACTTGTTATTATAGGCAAAGTGGGTAAGGAGCTTAATATGGAAGCAGTCACACACATCTTTATTTCTTCAGCTAACCATTACAAGATAATAGGAATTGGATTGGGTGTAAATGTGGCTGATCTGATGCCAATACCAGGCACAGCTGAAAATAATCTTATTATGGCATTTGAGAGGTGGTTTGAAGCCAATAAAAAAGTTAATTGGGATACGTTAATAAAACTGTGTGACAACTTTCCTGATCAACTCGGAAGAGTAAAATATATCCTTTTGGCATATATAGGTAAGTTCCAAAGCTATTAATCAAATTAAAAATTTTGTATCCTGATCAACAGGTCAGTCTGATGTAGCTAAACCCATTAGTTCAATACCTGATGATGTTCAAGGATATGCTGACAATATGAGACAACACTACAAACACCAACCTATTGTTGCTACAGACTGGTTACCAAAAATTGGAAAGGATTTTTTTGCAAAATTAGCACTTGTAGAAAAACAAGACTCCAGCACACAAAGAGAATCAGCTTGGCATCTACTAAGAGGACAAGTTGATAAAACAGTCAAACTAACTGAAAACAAAGAGATAAGTGTTGAAGATGTCCTCCTACCTTCAGATAGTTCTCTGTCTCTCAGAGTAGTAATAGATGGTCCTCCTGGTATTGGTAAGACCACACTCTGTCGTAAACTGCTAAATATGTGGTCTAATGGAACACTTGTACACCAACAGTATGACTTGGTACTTTACTGTCCTTTAAGGAATAGCAAGATAGCTACAGCTACTACACTAGCTGACCTGTTTGTGCATCAATTTAATAGATATAAAAATGTACCTGAATGGTTTGAGGAGAGGGATGGAAAAGGATTACTGATAATTTTTGATGGTTGGGATGAACTAAGTGGACAATTCAAACAGTCTTCATTAGCTGCTAGCATCATTTGTAAAGAGAAATTAGACCAATGTTCAGTAATTATTACCTCTCGTAGCTATGCCTCCTCTTCACTTTTGAAAATAGATACTCTTAGTAGACATGTTCAGGTCATTGGGTTTTCTGAGAAAGAAATATCAACAGTAATTATACAAACACTTCAAAAAGATACAAAACTAGCACAAAAAATTATCAGATACTTACACATTAAGAGCAATCTCAACCACATTGATAGTGAAAGTGATAGTAACATTTCTGACAGTGAACTTGACAGTGATGACAGTGTTGATGAAGTTGAAAGTGTTGAAACTGTTGATGAAAGCGAAGATGAATTTCAACTACCAACAGATAAGGACTCACAACTAGCAGTAAAACTTATTGATGATCTTGAAGTACGAAATGATGTCCAATCATTGTGTTATGTACCACTAGTCTGTTCCATGGTCATCTTAGTTTATTGTAAGGAAGGAGGACACTTACCATCGACACTCACTCAACTATATGAGAACTTTATCTTACAAGCTATCAGAAGACATGTGACAATAAGACCAAAATATGAACTTGACCCATCTACTTTAGGTAGCCTTTCTTCATTACCATCACAATTAGCTAAACCTTTACAAGAGATGTGTCAATTAGCTTATACTAACCTGGCTAATACAACAATGACATTCTCTTCACATCAACTACAGTCACTGAGTGAGGTAGTCAAGGAAGATTATCTTGGATTAATGACAACATTCACAGAATATGATGAGGAGAAGTATCAGTTCCTTCACTTGAGTATACAGGAATTTCTAGCTGCATGGTGGATAGCTAAGCATGAGGAGAAGACAGAGGAAGTGTTTAAGAATCACTTTGATGATGATCATTTTCGAATGTGTCTGATATTCGTTGCAGGTCTAACTCACCTTGAACATGAGAGCTATCAACAGTATTTTAATATACAACAACTTGACTTACAGTGTAAGAGGGAACCATTGTTTGGATTTGAGGCTTGTCATCTCTCCTGCTTCTATCAGAATCCTGAGATTACAGAAGTTGATCATATCGTCAGTTCCAATGATTTTGACAATGTTCCCATTCTTCTTTTTCAACTCCTGTATGAATCACAAAACACGGCATTGTGTCAAGTATTAGCACAATCCATCAACAACCACTCACTGTGTCTGGATAGAGATAGAGTATTATTATCATTGTTTGACTGGTTGTGTCTCAGTTACTGTATAAACAATTCCAACACAACATGGAATCACTTACACCTGGACAGTGTATCTAACCAGCCACTATCAGTCTTCACTGCTGGACTAACCAATAACTCACTACAGACCAAGTCTCAGCATAGGTCCCTGTGTAAGAGATTTGAGTTGTGCCGATGGTTGTATCAACCTACTGATGACTTAATACAAAAATTACTGCATCTAGATCTATACAACAATATTCAGGAGTGCTACTGTGGATTGAAAATGGGTGAGTATGATCCCTGTTTTGTATTATTACAGTTCTTCAATCTTCCTCAATTGAAGATACTGCACTTAAAAATGAAAGATCCTACCATATCAACAATTAACAACAAGTCACACACTGAACTTGAGAAATGTATAGAAATGAACTCAATACTACAAGAATTGAAGATTGAATATAAAGGAGGGGATGAAATAACAAGTACCATTAACAGTTTCATTAGAGGAGTAACAAAAAATAAAACAATAACATCATTAACACTACTTGTAATAGTACATGCTGATGCTCCTCCTCCTCCTCTTCTACCTGATGGAGTAATAGAGCAGTTACTAAAGGATAACAACACATTACAAGCTCTTTCACTGGGCAGCCTACCATCATCACTGAATAATATAGTAGAGGTGACTACACCACTGACTGCTCTAGAGATAAGAGAGGAGAGAGAGAAGGGTAGTAAACCTATGACATCACTCCTTCCACATATCAAAGGATTGCACTGTCTGATACTACATGAACCATACCCACCACATCTTCTATTTGTCTCTCATTCCAGTCTACATACACTTACTTTACCACTAGACACAGCTAAGAGCGCTATTGAACTATTTACTATTCTACGAACCAATACTACACTTAAAGCTCTGAGTGTGGAGATAAAGAAGGAGAGAGTATATACCAGCAGAATGGGTGCTAGTCTACAAGACATGCTAACACAAAACCAAACACTGAAATACCTTGAGTTTTATGATTTCAGGTTTAGTTCATTTCTGTCCTTTCTAACAACTGGTCTCAGACACAATACCAGTCTACAGCAGTTGAGTGTATCTATTCAACTGAATGAAGTGAATGACGATATAAGAACTTTTATTAATTTCATCTTTAAAAAGAAAAATCTAACAGAACTGGAATTGAACTTCACACCAGATCAGTCATACAGTAACTGTAGTAGAGAAAAGAGGAAACAAATAATGACGCCATTGTTTTATGAACAGGTACTACCTGCTGTTATGAACATGTTACAGTCACATACAACCATCAGACTACTGAGGATAGTGTGTGTACCTATTAATAAAGAGTCATCGCAACCTAACTGGATAGAACTTGTACAACATTTATATGAAACTATTTTCATCCACCCATCGCTGGAATATGTTGGTATTTATACAGGATACATTCCTTCTCTCCTGGAGGATACTCTTGAAGATCAAAAGAAGACATTCAGAAATAATCAACCACACAAACCCCTACCAATAGTGGATATTGCGTAGCTCCAAATATGGTAATTCATTTTAATTATAATTACTTATGTAGCAGCATTAAATAAACTACACAATAGTGAAATGCATAATAATATGCAATACAATGTGTGTTTACATTAATTAATTTTGTTAGTATATTAAATTATTCTTTTACAACTTTAACAACAATAAAAGCAACACAGCCCTAACTATTATCACTATTAAATAAATACCATGGATTCATACATAGGGGATAGGAAACCTGGCCCAAACTTTAGTTCCCCCCTAAAATAGTCTGGGTAACTTTAATGAAAATGCTCATACTTGCTGTAATTCATATTGTTCATTACAAGAAAAGCACACAATTGAAATCATGTGTATAAATCTTTATGCTGGCACTGATAAAATCAGCTTTTGCTTGATTAACGCAATATAAAAAAATAAAAAATGCCAAAATAAGTATTGTTATCATTCATATTTGTCAATGATGTCCCCCTACAAAAGAATCCTGCATGAATCCCTAAATACTATAATAATTAGCTTGATTGATCTCGTTTGATGGTTCTCAGCCTAAGAGGAAGAAAGAGAGAGAGGACAAAAGATCGGGAGGAAATGAGGAAGGGGAGAGATAGAGTGACAGTGTGTAAGAGAGGTAAATGTAAATGGAGAGAAAGAGAAAGGATCATGGGGAGGAGAGGAGCAAAAGGATGCTGTATAAACTTATACTTTCATTCAAGAATGAATTACACACAGTCAATGGAAATATAAAAGTTTTATTACAGAGAAAATAGGGTATGTGTGTGATTGGGCCCAGGTTACTGGTATATGACTACGTAAATTCTATCTTTACATTTTTTTATCATTAAAGTTTTGGGCTCTACAATAATTACATGTATATATTCTTTAATTGTTACCTTTTCCAGTTGTTTGACACTTTCAGTGACTTTATGAAGTGACCTCTCAACATTGTAATCAATCCTATCCAATATTGAACCCTTTTAAATTCTAAATTAATAGTAACACGACAATAAAAGTTAGAGCTCTGGTTCCAATCTCTCTTCCTCTATCTCCCTCTCTCTCTCCTATTGCCCTAACCTGTTCCACTACCATTGTTGCCAGGACTTCATACATTTCGTTTATTTCAGGTATTGATCTAACTGTACTGATATATTATTTCTCTTACTCTTTGTTCCATCAGTTTAGAATTACATGCATCCTCTAGCTGTGATAATTAACCTGATGTATCTAAAATCTACAGAATGAGAGGGAGTGAGAGAGGAGGGAAAAGAGTTTTATAAACAATTAAATTAAAACAATAATAATATGTACATGAATACATGTGCATGTATGTGTAGATTGTGTGCATTTAATTGTACAGATGTAAAGGCGAAGTCATGGATATGTACATGTAATTTCTACTAGGTGTTATCATTCAGCTTCAATGCTAAGCTGCTGATTCTTTGTAAGCCAATACTGAGAGAAGGTAACTTAATCCCCGACAGGCCACCGTGCACTAGAATCCCTTGACTGGGCAACAATTAGTGCCAACTAAAATTAATGAAGACATAAATTAACAAAATAGTACAATAAAACGTATAATGACTACAGTATATGTACATGTACATGTATACATACCATATCTCTGCCTTGATCTCTACTCATGATATCATCAATTGGTATTACATGCACATCACTCAAGGACAAATCTATAATCATCACATCAGTGTCATAATGTAACTGACTGTCATTACACAGTACCTCTCATTTTACTTGCTTCCTTATAGTAGGTCTCTGGTTGCATTGAGCGTGTTGATATAGCCGAGAATAAACCACCACACCCCCACCGTCCAGAATCATCTACATGTACATGCACAAGAAAAGCATAATGTACAGAATAATTTTAATATAAATATTAAGATAAATTCAGTTGATTATTTAGACAATTCAACACTATACCAGTGCATTACACCTTATACATGTACTACCATGAAGAGGGTCTACTAGTCATACCAATAATATGATATTCCTTACCTACACAGTGTACAATAATAGTATCATTA